GCAAGTACAACCCTCATATATCCTCAAATGGGAAAGGGAAGACAAACAAATCCAGAGCTCCCTGCATGACAAAAGAAATAGCGATTAAGTTAAAGAATAAAAAGTGTGAATGTGACCAGTGTCAGGTATTAAATACAATTGAAAGCCAAGCTGAACACTGAACATTCAGAAGGGAGATGAAAAAGGCAAGCAAAGAGAGACTAAGACAAGACAAACAGCTAACATAAAAAGAAATCCCAAAGTCTGACTGTAGCAACAGAAACAGTAAAATGTTTGTAAAAGAATGAGTAGGGACAATTCGGGACCAAAGAGAAGATTACAAATTTGGTGGAAAGAGGTGTGAAATTAATTCTTTGCATCTGTCTTTACCTGGGTGGCAGATGGCAGCTTCCCAGGCTGAGGTGATACAGGAGGAAACTCAGTCACTAGAATCATTTCCAATTGGTTAAAAAGGAGGTATTGTATAAGCTGTCAGCACTTAAAGTTGACAAGACTCTGGAACTGAATGAGATGCATCCGAGAAGATTGAAGGAAGTGAAAGAAGAATTGCAGGGGCACTAGCAATAATCTTTCAGCCTTTCCTAGATTTGGGAGTACTGTCAGAAGTTTGCAGAATTGCAAATTATTCCTTGAGCCAAAAAAATTGTAACGACAAGTCCAGAAATTATAGGCCTCCTCGCTTAACTTTGGTGGTGGAGGAACTACTAGAAGCAATTACTCAGGATGGAGTTAACAGTCACATGGAAGCGTCTGCATGGATTTATAAAGGAATGTTATGTCTAACCACATTGGGGATGGTTTCTTGAAGAGGTAACAGAAAGGGATGATGTGGTGTCCATAAGCTTGCAAAAGATGTTTGATACAGTCTCATACAATAGCCTTGGGAGAACAGTTATAGCTGATGGACTAAAAATAGCAACAGGGATACAAAACTGACTGAGTGATAGGAAACAGTGAGTAATGGTTGATGAATATTTTTCAGGTTGGAGGAAGGTTTGTAGTGAGGTTCCCCAGGGGTTATTAATGGAATGGCAACGGTTTTTTTGTACATAGATTTTGGTGGATGGGGTCAATTTCAAAGTTTGTGGCTACGGTAAACCTGGGAGCATGGCAAACTGCAAGGAATACAGTGTCAAACTCCAAAAGGGTAGAGACAAGTTTGGTGGAGTGGGCAGACAGGTGACAGATGAAATTCAATGCTGAGAAGTGCAATATGATACAACTTGGTTGAAAGAACAGGGAGAGATGGTATAAAATAAAGGGACTATTCTAAAGGCTGTGCAGGAGCAGAGAGACCTGGCGTATATGTGCATACGTCATTAAAGGTGGCAGGTCGGGTAAAGAGAGAGAGAGAGATGGCTGTTAATGAAACATATAGTAGTTTAGACTTTATTGAAAGGTATGGCAGTGTCGTAGTGCAATGTCACTGAACTAGCAATCCAGAACCCCAGTCTAATGTTCAGAGGACATTTAGAGGGCTCTAGAGATAGGGCTGGAGAGTGGAACTAGCTGGGTAGCTCTTTGGGGTGCTGGTACAGACATGATAGGTTGAAAGGCCTCCTTCTGTACTGTAAAATTTTATGATTCTATGACACGGGTTTGAATGTCACCATGGCAGATGGTGAAATTTGAACTTAATTTACAAAAGAAATCTGGTATTTAAAAAATGCTTGTCTCATGGCAACTCTATAACTATGTAAGTTGTTGTAAAAACCCTGCTGTTTCACTATTGTCTTTCAGTAAAGGAAGTCTGCCATCCTTTCCTAGTCTAGACTATGTGATTCCAGAACCATAGCAACAACATCAGTCACTCTAAATGTCCCCTGGGGAATCAGAGATGGACAGAAGCGTAGGAGGTTGAGGGGTGACCTCACAGAGGTTTATAAGGTCATGAGGGGCATGGATAAGGACACAGCAAGGGTCTTTTCCCTAGGGTGGGGCAGTTCAAAACTAGGGTGCATATTTTTAAGGTGAGAGGAGAAAGTTTTAAAAAGGACACGTGGGGCAATTTTTTTTTTGACAGAGAATGGTTCCTGTGTGGAATGACCAGCCAGAGGAAGTGGTGGATGCAGGTACAGTTACATCATTTAAAAGACATTTGGATAAGGTACATGAACAGGAAAGGTTTTGAGGGATATGGGCGAAACACAGGCAAGTGGGACTAGTTTAGTTTGGGAAAATGGTCAGTGCGGACGAGTTGGACCGAAGGGTCTGTGTCTATGCCGTATGACTACGACAATGGCTAGGAGTTTAAGCTATATAAGACACTCGTTAGGCCTCAGCTGGAGTACTGAGTACAGTTCTAGCTCCCACACTTTCTAAAGGATGTGAACACATTCAATGGATTTTCAGAAGAGGTTTACAAGAATGGCTCCAGAGATGACACACTTTAATTATGACGCTATGTTGTTTTCCTTGGCGAGGAAAAGGCTAACATGAATCTGATAAAAGGTTTCAAAATCATGATAGGTCTAGGCAGTGTAGATAGAGTCAAACTGTTCCCATTTGTTATCAGATTGAGAACCAGAGGGCACAGTTTTAAAGTGCTTTTCAAAAGAAGCAAATGTGAGGTGACAAAACACTTTGTGCAAAGATATGAAGATAATGTTGGATAATGGCACCAAGACAGAATGAATAGAGAGCTGGTGGTGAGATGATGGGCCAAATGGCCTCTTTCTGCAATGTAACTGTTCTGTGATTCTGACATAAGTGGGGATGTTTGCTGATGAATACACAATGATCAGCACCATTCGCAGCTCCACTAATAATGAAGCAGGTCTAGACCAAATGCAGCAAGGCCTGCATAATATCCAGGTTTGGAGTGACAACTGGGAAGTAATATTTGCACAAGTACCAGAAATGAGCATCTCGAGTAAGAGAATCTAACCATTGCTCCTTGATATTCAACAGCATTACTATTGTTGAATCTTCCACTATTGACATCATGCGGATTACCATTGACCAAAAACTGTATTGGACTAACCATATAAATAGACTATGTATTTATGTGGTTAGCCCAATTCAGTTTTTGGTCAGTTTTTTTTTGTCTAAGTCAGGAGTGTGATGGAATATTCCCTACATGTCTGGATGTATGCAGCTCCAAAAAATACTCAAGAAGCAGATGCATAAGGCATCACAACTATTTGGAACAGACTGGATGGGCTAGTGATCATCTGTCTTTTTTTTTATTGTTGAAAGAAGAATGACAGAGTAGAAAAGGTATTGAGGTCAAGATAGCATGTAATATTGGCCAATGTGCTTTCAAAGATAATGGCTTAGAAATTCGTACATCCAAATTTGCTGATTAAACAAAGTTAGGTGGCATCATAGACAGTGTAGAAGATAACATAAAACTACAAAGGGATATTGACAAAGTGAATGGGCAAAATTGCGGCAGATGGAGTTCAATATTTGTAAGTATGAGATTATCCATTTTGTACCAAAAAAGGATAGTTGAGGGTGCTTTCTACACAGAATGGAGTTAAATACAGTGGATGTCCAAAGATACTTGAGGTTCAGATACATATATCTTTAAAATGTCACAAACAGGTGCAAAAAGTAATCTAGAAAGGTAATGGAATGCTAGGCATTATATCTAGAGAACTGGAGCACAAGGATGCAGAAGTTATACTGCAGTTATACAAAACCCTGGTTACACCTCACTTGGAGTACTGTGAGCAGGTCCGGACAGCATATCTTAGGAAGGACGTATTGGCCTTGGAGACAGTACAACATAAGTTTACAAAAGTAATAACAGGTCTTCAGGGATTAAGTTAACAGCAGAGATTATACAAATTAGGTCTGTTTTCTCTAGAATTTAGAAGGTTAAGGGGTGACTGGATCAAAGTCTTCAAGATTTAATAGGAAAAGACAGATACAAATAAACTATTTCCACTGTTGAGGATTCTGGAACGAGGAGGCATAGTTGGAGAATTAGGGCCAGACCACTCAGGACAGATGGTAGGAAGTACTTCTATATACAAAGATGTTTGGAACTCTCTTCCACAATGGCAGTGGATGCTAGTTAGTTTTAAATCTGAGATCGATAAATTATTATGAAGCAAATGTATTAAGGCACGTGGGCCAAAGGAGTTAGGCCACAAACCAGCCACGCTGAACGGTAGAACAGGCTTGAGGGGCTGAATGGCCGACTCCTGTTTCTATATTCCAAAGCAGCAATTGCTCAGGTGAAAACTGGGCTCAAGGGATCTAATACAGCTCTGAAATAAATAGGCATATAGCTGGGAGGAAGCAACATATTTAAACACCTTAGTGTATAAAGGAAAATTAGGAGTGGGATGTTAGTATGAACAGATGGAAACCGACTATTGAGTCTTTTGCTTTTAAGTTGCTCCATTATCATTGATTGAATTCTCGTGCAGATTATTTTTGGTAAATCTATATGCTTGGCAATCCGTAAGAATAGGCTCTGAACTCACTAAATAAGGCTGTGCTCATACGGAGAATGGACGTGCAATTCTACTGGGCAAACAAAGTTCTGCATTTGCAGTATTTGGGCAGTCCAGTTTGAAAACTGTTCGTTTCAGTGGGATTTCTATATGAGCCTGACTCTCAGTTAATGGGGGACAAATGCAACACGTGGAACTATTGAACGCAAGTGAACTATTCCATCCATTAGAAGGTCAGGTGAATCTTATTTACTGAAATGGATAAAACTCGATTCATTGCTTGAATTAATGTTGATCAAAATGTTCTAGCCGTCATACACTCTGGCTTAAGGAATGCAGGAGGAAATTAAATTTGTGAAAATATACAATTGTTATATTTCAGTATCTCATTCCAATTCTCACAAAGATCATTAAAGACTTATGAATTCTTGTACAAACTACTTAGATATGAAGGGTGATTTCAAGCTAATTAGTTTGATAAACCTATTGAAGGCTCCCATCTTGAAATATGTTTAAATGATATGTGTAGCGTCAAAGTCATGATAGTGTCCTTCAGCAATACAATGCATTAATTCACAAATGTATCTTTACCTGTTTTGATGTCTGCGCTGATTTCATATCTATTTTGAAATAGAAATCAAGAAAGAGCAAAAGAAAAGTTAAATCATTATAATACAAGAATCAGTGAGAGCCAAGTCATTTAATAATTTACTTGAAGCTTATACATAATAATTACAAGTCATATTACATTGTGATAAAAATATTCAGGTCTTAATTTCCAATGTCAATTTTCAAATGTTGCCCATTTATAGTGGGATTTGACTTCACACTTTGTTGCAGAGACCATGTCATACTGGGCTATTATTGTTGCTAAGGAAACCTGACTGGCCATATTTCCTTGGCAAGGTGTAATATAGCACCACTTACTGAGTTGATCAAATCATAAGTTTATGAACATCACGCATAATTTTGATATTTATGAAGTTCGAGAATTCACTTTATAGTTCTTAAATTCAAAGATACAATTGCTTATATTAAGCTTTATAACTTTAACATATATCACTGTCACAATTAAATACTTTTAAAGCTTAAAAACAGTAAGTTTAATGTATAAACATACTATTGATGAATTAATAATTTGGATAACAAAAACTATTCAGTACAGAGTTAAAGCTTATCATTGTAATTCACTTAAAAATATCTATTTCAACTAGATATTTCCCAGAAAGCATCCAGGGGTTCCACTGAACAGTAACCCAGTTCTTAATTGGAAGAATTAGTGAATAGAGAAGCATTTGATTCTCCCTTCTCTAACTGCCCCCCGTCCCAAAACAAAAAAAAAACATTTTTAGAAATACTTTACCATATATTAACAAATTCAGAATGAGGATATATGAGTTACATTAGAAAATGGAAATAATACTTCTGGCATGAATTCATCAATTCATCTGCTGAACTGACTTTATGGGAAGTGTTAAGGAAAGGGAATGCTCACTACAGAAAATGATCACATAAAAATGCTTCTTCTCAAACTAAACCAAGCTGATTAGCTACAAAGTACTAGTAATTCTAATGCACATTTCATTTGTATTTCAAAGACAAAGACAACAGGTGTATTTGGATCATCATCGCTCCAATCGGGTCACATACCAAAAGTCTGAAATTCTCTACCAAATAGTTTCTGAGAGTACATTCACCACATGGTTCAAGATGATGAACACCCTCTTCTCCAAGGGAATCAGGGTTGGGCAATAAATATCAAGTTAATCAACAACCTCACTTTCAAAAGAAAGGTTTTTTTTTAGAAAAACGTTAAAAAATATTCAGGGAAAAAAAAAATCCCCCTCTATTGTCACAATCCAAGAACTTTTAGATAGAGTTGTACTTCCAAGAGTTAATTTTAATGAAGTACTGATCTAGTATCTTTTCTGCATCATTAGCTTATTCAAATAAAGTGATGGACTGCAAAATAAATACCAAAGGAACTGGACAAAAGATCAGAATGTAACTAATCACGCAACTACACAGTACAAGCAACAGAGAGAGAGATAGGAGGAGAGAGACCAAGTGTGTGTATGTGTGTGTTTGTGCACGCGCGCGAGACAGAGAGAAAGAAAGAAAGGGAGGGAAGGAGAGAAGACAAGAACACCACATTCATTGTTCAGATTAATTTCTGAAATTAATGAAATGCAGTAAGCAGAATTGGAGTGCACCAGAAATTGTTTCTACAACTACCGGGAATGTGTTGATTAGCTAGAACTCCAAAACATTGTCAGATGATTGCTTTAAATCATAAATTTATAAATGTCAGTAATTTCAAAGGATGTGTTGCAGAAACTGTTAAAATTGAAATTATTAATTTTTGTTGGTTAAAGTATCAAGAGATAAGGAAATAGAGCTGAGGTACAAATCCACAGCTGCAACTGGTCAATGACAGATCAGGCTGACAAGGGGCTGATTGTGTTTCACAGTAACTGAAATCAACCAGAGTCTGCAAAGTTCAAAATGCAACTGGAAAATGCATGATCTGTCCAGTATGCTTAGAAAATGAAAAATTAACGTTTTGACATTTTTTTTTAAGTGGAGTTGCTGCAAAAAAGCAGAACATTACACAATCCCATACTTTCCCGCTTTTTAATGGTGCCACGAGAGGGCAGCAAAAGAAAGGCAAAATTATTTTCCATGCATCTTAGCTTTAACACTTTTGAATCGCCACAATCAAGTTTGTAATAACTTTACATTAGGAATAGATTTATTTTGTATAAAAGTCAGAATCACTTGTGTTTCATTTACTTAAAGAGATAACGGAACAGAAATTTGGGTGAACTTAAGGTTCATTCCCTGCAACTGAATGGTGAGGCCTGAGGTACCCCCCAATACTGGGCTTCTAGCCAATTTCAATCATGGAAACTGAGGAAACTGTGCTAGGGAGTGGCAGCCTGTGTTCTTTAAATCTGTAGTTGGCAGAAGGACCGGAAACAGCAGGTCGGGAATTAGAAGAGATACGAGTTTGGGGATGGAACACAGGAATCAGGGACAGGGAATGGGCAGATGAACAAATGTCAACAATTGGGAAATCAGAAGCCAGGATGAGGGTTGATAAAGCAGCCCCACTAAGTTCTTTAAGACGGATTGTCCCGGAGCCCTCTCCTTTCTCTGGCTTGATATTAAGAAAAACAAATCTCAAAATATTTTCTCTTTGGTAACATAAATCCCAAGGTCTGGTTTTAGCTCAAGGTTTATGGAAGGGGCCACCTCAAATGGAAATCATATTCCATATCTTCAAATTCTCACCCTTTCCTTCAGCTATAAGGTGGACAGTCCACAACCAGCTGGATATTTCCATGCACTTCTGTCTGCCATGTTGAAGTGCATTGTGATACCTGCTGCCTGAAAGATATGCACATTATAAGCTATTTAAAGTTTTGGCAAAGATCTAAGCTCGGGTTGTGGGTGAGGTTGTTGACTTGTTTGCCCAGCTGGCTTGTTCTCGTTCAGACATTTCGTCATCATGCTAGGTGACATCATCACTGCAGCCTCCGATGAAGCGATGTTATTCTACTCCACTTGGAATTTATACTGTTTGGTCCGTTATGGTGAGTAGTGTCATTAATGTCTGAACAAGAACAAGCCAGCTTGGTGAGCAAGTTAACAACCTCAGTATAAGCTATTATTTGATCCTTTAATTCACTACATTTTGTGGGATATTATTCACTGTAAATTGCTGCTACAGTTCCCTACATTACAACTGTAATGAGGCTTCAGATCTATTTCATTGGCTGTTGCAGGATTGGTGGCATCTTGAATTCATCAAAATGCACTATTTAAGACCATAAGATTAAGTTGGCCATTTAGCTGGGCGAGTCTGCTCAACAATTCAATGTGATCATGGCTGATCTGGTATCCCTGAAATTCACTTCACTGCCTTTCCACATACTCCTTAATTACATTGCTGGTTAAAGGTCTTCTATCTCAGCCTTGAACATACTCAACAACTGAGGCTCGACAACTATTCTCAGTAAAAGAATTCCACAGATTCACTACCCTTAGAAGAAATTCCTTCTCATCTGTGTCTTAAATGGATGACCTCTTATTCTGAGATTACATCCTCTGACCCTCAACACTCTCACAAGGGGAAACAACCTCTATGCATTTACCTTATTAAACCCCTTAATACTTTTATGTATTTCAACAAAATCTCATTATTCTAAACTCCAAAGAGTATATGCAAAACCTATGCAACATTTTCTTGCAAGAAAATCTCACTGTACCCAGGAACTACCTAATGCACCTTCTCTGGGCTGCCTGCAATTCTCTTACGTATTTCCTGAGGTAAGACGACCAAAACTGTTCACTGTATTCTAGGTGCAGTCTAGCTAGTGCCTGATATAGTTTTAGAAAGAATTTATTTATACTGCATTCACATTGAAATAAAGGGCAACATTCACTTTCCTTCATTATTATCCACTGAACCTTTTTAAACATTCATTCTTGGGATGTGGGCATCGCCAGCATTTATTGGTCTTCCCTAGCAGCGCTTAAGAAGGTCATCACAAGCTGACTTCTTGAACCACTACAGTCCATGAGCTGTAGGTAGACCCCACAAAGCCACGAGGGAGGGAATTCCAGGATTTTGAAGGGCGGGACTTATAGAGTTTATACAGTCATAGACAGAAACAGAAGTTGCTGGAGAAGCTCAGCAGGTCGGGCAGTATCCGTGAAGAGAAATCAGAGTTAACATTTTGGGTCCGGTGATCCTTTCTCAGAGTCAGAGTTGTACAGCACGGAAACAGACCCTTCGGTCCAACTCATCCATGCCAACCAGATATCCTAAATTAATCTAGTCCCATTTGCCAGCATTTGGACCATATCCCTCTAAACCATTCCTATACATATACCCACGGATGTCTTTTAAATATTGTTTTTGTAACTGCTTCCACGACTTCCTCTGGCGGCTCATTCCATACATGAACCACCTTCTGTGTGAAAAAGTTGTCCTTTAGGTCCTTTTTAAATTTTTCCCCTCTCACCTTAAACCTATGCCCTCTAGCATTGGACTCTCCCACTCTGGGGAAAAGACTTTGCCCATTTAACCTATCCCCTCATGATTTTATAAGCCTCTATAAGATTACCTCTCACTCTCTGACACTCCAGGGAAAATAGCTTCAGTCTATTCAGCCTCTCCCTATAGCTCAAACTCTCCAAACCTAGCAGCATCCTTGTAAATCTTTTCTGAATCCTTTCAAGTTTCACAACATCCTTCCTATAGCAGGGAGGCCAGAACTGCATGCAGTATTCCAAAAGTGGCCTAACCAATGCCCTGTACAGCTGCAACATGACCACCCAACTCCTATACTCAATGCACTGACTGATAAAGGCAAGCATACCAAACTACCCTATCTACCTGTGACTCCACTTTCAAGGAAATATGAGCCTGCACTCCAAGGTCTCTTTGTTCAGCAACATTCCCCAGGACTTTACCATTCAGTATATACGTCCTGCCTTGATTTGCCTTTCCAAAATGCAGCACCTCATATTTGTCCAAATTAAATTCCATCTGCCATTCCTCTGTCTATTGGCCCTCTGATCAAGATCCCTTTGGACTCTAAGTAACTTTC